AAATTGCCTCTTTTGCAAGATGGTGCACAGCCTTGGATCACTAAACTAGAAGAAGTTTTGACGGGCACACAGCCAGCTCYAGGAGATGTGAAACGTTTGCTTGCTACTCTCCTGGGAGTTCCTGTGATGGAGGAACTGTGGCAGAAAGCAGGCTTACAGAGACAGAGTTGTACAACTGTCTATGATGCAGATCTTTTCCTTGCTTACAGAGCTAGGATTTGGGGAGCTTTGAGAGCGATGTTCCCAACTAATATCCATCCAGACAATATTTTTATTGATCCCCTGGGAGACAAAGAAAATCCTAGGGCATATGTGACCAGAGCACATATGACTTGGAGGAGTGTRACAGGTAATGACCCAGATGTAAACAGACTGGAACAGTCCATACTTAGAACAAAAATACAAGAGGGTCTGCCTTTACCTGTTAGAAAAAAGTTGGAGGAAGTATTTGGACTATGTAGTATGAATAGAGCCGTCTACACTGATCATGTGGCACACCAAGTCGATTTGCATAGAAGAAAGGAGATGGAGCAGCAAAAGCTAGAACAGGAGACGATCCGAAAACTCACACAAATGCACCTGATGGAGGGAAAGAAAAAAGACAAGATGCAAGCTGTTGTCCAACAAAGTCCTCAACCTCAGACTCAACAACCCTTATGGCCGATGATGKGCTCACCAGTGCTACAGCAAATGGAGGGATATCCTCCTTGGGGACCACCAAAGTTCCAGACCAACAGAGGGGGTGGAAAGTATAACCAAAGACCCCCCCAGTTTATAAGGCCATGCTATGGTTGTGGGCAACATGGACATTTGTGGAGGAGTTGCCCAAGTACCGTCTATTCGTACAATAATCAGGGTTTTGGAGGTAATGTTGAAGGACAAGCAGTGCCGGCGCAGGGTACAGTTAATCCTAACCGGGGCCCTGAACAAAGTTTCTAGGTTGTTGTAGGTGTCCATCTCAGTTGGGGGTAGGTTAGCATGTGCTGTTATTTGTCAATCAACAAATACTGCTATGACTTGGTTGGAATGTAGATGTTAGCACAAGGAGTTTGTGGATAAAATGGTAAAATTGTTTTGCAGAAGTTGAACATGAAACAGAGGTTGACTCTGTTAGTGATGGGTTGGTGTTGTGATGCTGGGAGGTCAAGTTCAGATGATATTGCTTAGTGGTGAGGTGTCAGATGAGGAGTTTTGGAGTACGTCAGGAAATTTGGAGGTGTACTTTTATTAAGTTGTTTGTTTGAAGTTTTTCTACATATAATCTGTTTTTGTTATTTTCTGACATTTACTCTATGTTTTGAAATATATCTGTGTTGATTTTTGGTAAAGAAAAGAAATATTTACTCTTCCTTGTGAATTTTGTTTTTATTTTTGTTTTGTCATGATTCCAACATTTTAGATT